ATCAATGGAACATTTATTGATAAGCTACAAGTAACTTTAGCAGGTCTACAGCAGGTGGCAGCCTCTTAGGATGCTAAGCAAGGTCATATGCTGTTAATGCTTAAAGATTACTAGAAAATATTAGTACCATAGGCAAAATTGGGAAATAAAAAAATCCAGGAGGCTGAGATAAGCCCCCTCTGTACTGTTGCTCAGAAAACTATCCAGAAATCATGGAAATGTCCTGATTGTGACCTCCTAAGATATAGCTGTAATAAAAATAATTACCATCCTATACTTTCTTCATTTCAGACCAATCTTCCAACCTTACCATTACAATAAATCCTGATATATATGAATATTGTCATCAGGGACACATAAACAGGAGGTTAGGATTTGATTGGATAGGACAAGACAACAGTGTTTTCTTTTTATTCAACCTTGTGAGACAAAAAAAAAAAAAATAAGCAGTTGGAGTATCAGCCAAACCTTATCAAAGTAAACAAGCACTTTTCTTTTTTAGCTTCAACATTATTAGTTCTTTTGCTTTTTTTTTTTTGCTTAAACATTGCTAGTGAACAATTTCCCACCTCTCAACTGATAGCTTAGCGCAGTCTAAAGTAAAAAAAATATTTTTTCTGGATCTTTTTCAAATGTCTCAAAAACTTTCTAAGCAATTTTTAAAACAGTATGATGTATATTTACATATGATTTAATTTGAATGCATTCCTAACATATATGAGCACAGCCTGTTATCTGTATCATGAGTCCCTAGGGTACTCATCTTTTGGATTTTGCTCGTATTTACCATTCTAGGTCTAAGAAAAGAGCTTATGTAAATCATTGGCAGTGTACCATCCACTCTCAAGTTGAAGAGATAATAGGTGACAGGCTGTTTAATTCTTTGGCAGGTAAACCTTTGATCTTCTTATCCCAGCTATAGGATCATTTAGTTGGGTGTCCTCTTCAGCACTTTTATACAGGGGTTGCCCTCAATTGCTTCGGCGAATCTTATCCCATTCACATCAGAACTCTATTAATTGGTGGAAATTGCTTGGTCCATTTAAGGTTTATAAACCAACCTTTATTTTGGGTATAAACCAACAATTCAATATTTGATCTTCAATAGCTATTAGCACTGCCTATTTAATTTTTGCCAGGATAGCTTTTCAGCTGTCAGCCAGCATCTGCATTACTCAGCTTATTCTCCCCCACAATCCCCTCTGATCTTAATGTGGTCTCCTGGATGTTTCTAAGCCTTCCTATTTTCAGAACTTATCAGCAAGCAAAGCACAATGCTGGAAGAAGAGAGTTTGAGTACTCTCCCCTCCAGAATGCACAAGCTGAAGGAGTCAGTGACTGATCAGTACCAAAGCATGGCTTGCTTTGAGTTGTGCTGCTTCTCTGAAGTTGATATCAGCTGGATGTAATGATTGAGTTTATAGATCCACATAAACAACAGATTTTCACATCATAATTTCTAAGCCAGGATCAAAAAACTATCTACTGTATGATCATGAATTGCATTCATCTTTCTGAATGGTGTAATGGGATAATATGTCAAAACAAACAAATCATATGAAGATGGTCAATGAACATTATCTAGTAAAGTTTTCCCTGATATTAAATTAAACGACAAGGAAACTTTTCCTTCGTAAATGTCAGGATACTTTTAAAAATCCAGATGAAAAGCCTTGTAAGAAGACTAAAACTTCAAAGAACCTTATCTAGACCCCTTCCAATGTGGATTCAGTCTTGGTCATAACATCAAGGCTGCTTTGGTTTCACTTGTTGATGACCAACGGCGAGTTCAGTATGGAGGTTGTATGTTAATTTGAGTCTTTCTTTGATTTATCAGCAGCTTTCAATAACATCAACCATAGTATACTTCTGGACCAGTTCAAAAAGTGGGCAGTTGGAAGCAGTGGCTACAAAAGTGCTCCCCTTTTCTCTGGGATTGGTTCCAAATGTATTGGTGGGAGGTGAGCATCAATCCTAAACCTTGCTCCAAGAGGTGTCATTTGGCCAGATGAAATCACTTGGGCACAGCTGGTTACCAATTATACTAAATTCTATTTCTCTGCCCTGGCCGTCCAACATTCTGTGTTAATGCCTGGAGGCTGTGGCTGCTTAGATAGGAAAGAACGGTCTTCAGATCAATCCAGGCAAGACTCAGTAGATGTGGGTTTGTGGGGGCGGTGTGTGTGTGTGTGGACTTACCTAGAAAGTGGAAACCATTTGTGGTTTGGGGAAATGCCTCCCCAGACTTGGCATGCAATTTGGAGTTCCTTTTGGGTCCTCATGGTTCCTGTTGAAAAGCAGTTGGCAGCTGCAGCCATAAAATCATTTGCAAAACTCCATCTGGTCACCAGTAGTTCCTGTTCCTAAACCTGGGGACCACAGCACTTTTTTAGTCATCACCTCTCAGTGGACTATTACAATGTTCTTTACTTGGGGCTGCCTTTGAAGACCATCCAGAAACTGCAGCTGGTCCAGAAAGAAATAGCTTTGTAATTCTTTAATATTAAAATGAGAAGAGATCTGGGCACAACTGCAATCTACTCCAACTTTGTCCCCACAAGCTATGCTTGGTTCCATATGTAGTACTTATACAGCTATTTCCACAGGGCAGTTGTATAATGAAAAACAAACAAACAAACCAAAGGTTAAACCTGATAAGATTATCAATCCTGTGAGTTGGAAAACTACTGATCTGGCTAGAAGTAAACAACTAATCTTTGAATTATTTGAGATACAATATTTATTTAGGGCTGCCTCAAGATTAAAAATGAAATGAATAATTTATTGCCCTCAGGATCCAACTATTCTTTCTCATTTGCTGTGCAACGTCTTAACATTAATTTACATTTTAAACCATTAATAATTTATTTGCAGTGCCATTTCATTGCAGCTGGTTATTTTGAGGAAGTGTGACCACTTTTGTCCTTATTCTGGTGTGATGCAGTTTTTAGGTTCTGTTGGAAGAAATATCCTTCTGGGTTCATTCCAAGTGGGGAAAAAGACACTGGAAACATGGAGACTGTTTGGAAAGATGGTTTAATGGTGGACAGGACCACATGGCCTGGAGCTCCAAAGTGAACAGGATGATCACATGCTTCAAGATGTTGGGTGAAGGAAAAGAAGGGAGGGGCTGAGAGTCCCTTATATACCCTTTGTTGGGCCCCACCTTAATGTTTCCTGTTCCTGTGTAAGAAATGTATCCCATTGGCTGTCAGACTCCCAGGGGCGGGGGTCTTAGCTAACTTTGCAGGTTTTGTCTGGAGCAGGGGTCACCAACCTTTTGGACTTCAGGGACCACCAAATTCATAATTTTAAATCCCGTGGACCATTAATATGAATTTTGATAGATGGTGGCTTGCTGACATTTTCCCAGGGTCTCTGCAGAAAGCAGCAAGAGACCCTGGGAAAATCCCCCCCAAAATCTGGAAGAAAATTCCCCACCTCATTTTCCTACTGATCGATCATTCTTTATTTGGGATCTCCAGTTCCATTCTCGGAGGGAGGGAGGGAGGGAGAGAGAGAGAGAGAGAGACTTTTGGCTTCATGCAAGGAAAGCAGCAGAAGTCTTTCTTTCTTTCCCCCAAACTCTGCCAGAAATGAGTCATTGCCAGTGCAGCCTCTTGGAGCAGGAGGCCTTGCAGTGTCCCAAAGACTCATTTCTGGTGGAGTTTGGGGGAGAGAAAGAAAGACTTTTGCTGCTTTCCTTGCGTGCAGCCAAAAGCAGAAGGAAGATGTGGAAAGAAGCAGCCCGGTGGCCAGGCCAGGCGCATGGGGCACATGAGGCGAGTTCCCCCCCTCTACCCTTCCCCCCTCCCCTCACTACCTTGTGTTGTTCGCAATGCAAGTGAAGCAAGCCTTGTGTTCCCACGGGCCATGTGAGTGGCACAGCCTTGTGTTCCTGCATAGCCTGGATTAATTGCTTTGGGGAGTGCTTTGGAGGTGACATTTCTCTGCAGACCACCAGTGGTCCCCGGCCCACTGGTTGGTGACCACTGGTCTGGAGCACATGACTTCACCGGAGTGCTGGCTGATGCAATCTTCCCTGGCCAGGTGGTGGAATGGGCAGAGGCCTTTATTATGTAGAATACTCTGAATACTCTGGCCGAGGCCTTAATGGACTGCCCATTAACAAAGGTGGGGGTGAGTTTCTTCTTCTGGGGTGAGTTTCTTCTTCTGAGTTTCTACTCTTTTTTGGGGGAAATATTCTGCCTTTTTAATATTTCCTAAAATATTTCATTTTCCTAGGAGAGGGGTGGGTTTTAATTTCCAACAGTTCAAAGGTCATTCTCCTTAAAGTACCAGGTCTTCAAAGACATTGCAGTGATCTTGTTCACATTCCTATCCCACTGATTTGTATTTAGGATGGAAAAGGAAGGACTGATTTAAGACCCCACGTCTCTTTTCTCCACACCTTAAGTCAGAGGCCTCCACACTTGGCAACTTTAAGGCTTGTGGACTTCAACTCTACAAGTCTTAAAGTCCACAAGTCTTAAAGTTGCCAAGTTTGGGGACCCCTGCCTTAAATGTCTGGAATACTCTACCTGACTCTGTGATTTCTTCCCCAAACCCCAAAAACTTTAACCTTAGACTTTCTACTATTGACCTCACCCCTTTCCTAAAAGGTCTGTAGGGGGCGTGCATAAGCACACCAATGTGCCTACCGTCCCTGTCCTATTGTTTTTTATTTTTCTTATATGTATCCATGTATTCATAACTGTTTTTATTTATACCTATTATCTTGTAAGCAACTGACAAACCAAATAAAATAAATAAAAATAAAATAAAATAAATATTACAAACATCTGTCATCAAGGTAGGTCCTCAGAGAACACCAAACAATTTCTGAAGCATTTGCTCAGCATGTCGAGACGGGTTTTCCTTTCGTGATTGCTAAGTTTTCCATTTTTGCCGCAAGATGGTGCTGCGCTTGGGACAACCTTTAAACGGCTGACCCGCTTCGCTTCCAACCACCACGCAGAGACTCCTGAACTCCCAACCTGACCGCAGCGATTTAATTTCGCAAGGAAGCCCCGGGCTGCCCACGCCGAAAAGTCCGGCTTCCTCTGGGAACAGCTGTTTTTGTTTTCTCTCCTCTCCCCTCCCCGCCTAGCGGGCTGTTCCGGACCCGGCCAGGGAGGAGAGGGAGAGAGAGAGAGAGAAAGGAAGGCCCATCAGTGCTGGCATCAAACAGCAGCCAGTCTGGGAGCACATTTTCCAGCCAAAACCACCCAGCTGTGCTGGAGTCGAGCTCTGGACCCTTGGACCAGGAAGCGCTTGTGCAACCCACCCGGCGCCGGACGGGCTGCCCTCTGCCCGATTTCTTTGCTAGCTGGGAAAGCAGCTGGCTTTCGACTTACTGGATCTCTCAGCCAGCAGTAGGATGGCTTCAGGTAGGGAAGACCCTTCGCTGTTTTGAAACAAAGTAAGTTCCGGACTAGCTCCTTTCTCTTTTCCTCCCTGTGACTTTTCTTTTTCTCCTTTGCCCAATCGCCTTCCTCCAGCTACTACCTCGATCTGGTGCCTTTCACCTTCCACCTCTCCTAATTGCCGCTCGGGGTATTACAGGCGCCGACCCTTCGGGAGGCACCAGCCTGCTCTCTTAGAGCCACGCTGCGCGCATCCCCGTCCCTCCCCCCGTTTGCCTATCCTGTCAGTGGGGTGGAGTCCGCCGTGCTCCGAGTTTCCGAGGCGCAAACAACGCCGGCGAGGTCCTTTTTTTTTTTTTGGCCGGTGAAAGTTTAGGAGGGCGTTCGGCAAGAGGAAAAATAGCCGAGGGTGGAAATTGGACGCAGCGGGCAAAAGACTTTATTTCTGGGTCGCTTCCCTCCCCACAATCCTCGTTGCGTCGCTCACTGAGCTAGCATTGATGATGTTACTTAGTTTTTCAAGGGTCTTCAAACTTGGCAAGTTTAAGACTGGTGGACTTCAACTCCCAGAATTCCTGAGCTAACATGACTGGAGGAGGAATTCTGGGAGTTGAAGTCCACCAGTCTTAAAGCTTGTCAAGTTTGAAGACCTGTTAGGTAACGAAACGTCTGCAAGAAAACAGGCAAAGATCAGAGGCGCCAAGGGCAACCCACCCCCCATGTCAACCCTGAGCGACAGGGTTGGTAGTTTCTTTCAAACTGAGGTCGGGAGAGCCGCGTTAAATCATTGATTTAAGAATCGGAAGCACACGACCATTATTTTCAACGTCGCGTGTGACCCCGGTTTGCGGGAAAACAGATATTGACTTGGAAGTCCAGGCAAGCGGTAACAGCAGCAGCAGCAGCCGCCACTCCGGGCGCCATTTCCCAGATACGGCTGACTGACCTCCCTCCCCCACCCTCGGCTTCTCAACTCCCGCCGCCGGGAGACAACTTCCTTTCCGTAAAAAGGCACGTTATTCCCCCGGGGGTGCAGCGGCCTCGCAACGCCGGCGTCACGGCCCGCTCTTGGCAACGAGTCCCCCGGAGGAGGCTCAGCTTGGATTCGCACCCCGCTTGCAAAAGTCTCCGCCTCCCTTTGCCGCAGGCGGCGCGTTTGCGCGCCGGGCATTTCCAGCCGGGAAACGGGCCGAGCGGGAAGAGCCGGCCTTTTCGAATTCCGCTCCAATGCCCGACGCTGGCCTAGGCTGCCCGCCTGGCGCTTTCCCGGCAGGGAGACGCCCCCACCCCGTCTCAGAAGCCCTTTCTGGCTTGTTCCCCGCCTCCCTCACTCCCAGGCTGCTCGCGCGTCACCAAGTAGGCCGCTTCCGGTTGAGAGGAAGGCTTTTGAAAATGCTGCTTGGGGCAAAGCGCAATTTTTGCATTTAAAGCCGTTGCATTTTTACAGCTTAAATGATGGCGGCATCGGCTACTTCGGGGAGGGGCGGGGGAGTAATCCATGCATGCCTTTTTAACGTCATGGGGGCAACAGAAGTGTAATTTGAACCGTTTCTCGCTTTTAAACCAGGAGGCGCTTTCCTCGGTTTCCTTAGCCCTAACTGCCGAATTATGGGTCGATTCGTGGCTTTAATGTTTTATCGCGATTTATGAGCAAGAAATAGCTGGTTGGAGGTCACCCAACAGGGCGACTAAACTAGTCCACTAGTGAACGGAGTTGTAGGAAGCCAGCCGCTTGGTTAATGATTCTGTCTGCGATGTGAATGAGGTTAAACAAGCCAGGCTCTTAGTAGCCTGTTAGGCTGGCTTCTTCCAGCATGTTGAGCCATTAGTCCACTGACCGTGAAGAATAAAGGCTGCCATCCTGATGCGCCCCCCCCCCCTCTCTCTCTATATATATTTTGGCGCTGGATTGATGACCTCCAGAATTCCTGGGTTTGGGAGAGAGGCTCCTTTGGCGCCCTCTCAGCCGGCAAATTTGCAGCATCTTGTCTGCGGTGTCTAAGCAAAAGCGGAAGGGAAAATATTAGTGAAAGCAGTTTAGGGGCCTAGGCCTGGCTGTTACGATTTTACAATCTTTTGTGGCTCTCCACCAGCTTAAGGAGAATGCAGCATCATGTTCTTGTTCAGCTGCAGGGCGCATGGAAGGTGGGAGGGTCTTACAAAAGCCTACCACCGAGCCACGCCATTAATGCATGAAAAGCGCTATTGCCCTGTTAAGTATTGTAAGGAACGTCAGCCGGCGAATTGGGAGAGTAGAGGGAGGGAGGGAGGGAGGGAGAGACCCCCTCGATCCATCCCGGCTCTGCGTAGTTTCCTATGTCTTTCCCACGCGCCTCCATCGATCAATAGCAAGGGGCGAACCCGACACTGTCTCCGCCTTCTTTTGGAGCACGGTGGCTGCAGCAACATCGGTTGCAAGACTTCGGCGGAGCATCGGGAGCGAGCAAAATGTCTTCTGGTGTCGGTCCCTCCAAGAGCGGCTCCCCACTGAGGAAGCGGGCCAGCCTTCAGGCTCCCAGCCCAGGAGGTGAGCATCTGTGGATTGCTTCTCCAGCTTCCCGCTGGCTTCTGCAGTATTATGTGCTGGAGAAAGTGAAGATTCATTCGTCACGAAATTAATTGTGGTTGCTTCTTTCCTGCATTCATGTTCTCTTTAAGGGGGTGTGGGGTGAGGGAATAAATTGGCAATCAGAATTCTTGTTATTCATATCCCTGCGGAATTTTTCTTAATGATGTGTTTATTCAAACAGGAAAGATGGTTGCTTCCTTGCTGGATTCTTAACAGCACTTCTCAATTTTTAAAATTCAGGAATAAGTTTTCCTGGGTTCATTCTGGTATCCCTGGTAACTTTGTGTGGGACGGCAGCCTGGGAAGAATGAAAAGGAAGGGATTGCTTGTTTGCAGCTGGAGGTGTAGATAATGAGGTGTGTTCTGTCCTCCCTTTAATACACACACACACACACACACCCACACCATTCTCTTTGTGCATACCGGCAGCTTTGATATACCTGGAGTGCACCAAATCTGTTGGGATTTCCTACCTATCATTAAGCTGGCTGGAGTTTCTGGGAATTTGCTGTAATGGGTATAGTGGAGAGATGCAAAAGGGGCCATTAAATTTGGGAGAGAGACCTGGCAATTTCGCACAGTCCTCATCCCAATGGCAGCTGGTTGTGTAATACAGACTACAAAGCATTACTGTGAACCTTCCGTAAAACACATTAGGATAAAGCTTCGGTGTTGTAGTTTTCATTTATGCTACTCAGGCCAATTGCGCAAAAATTGTAGGAGGTGCCAAAAAAACATTTGATGCCATAATTGCTTCATACACTCTTGTCACAGGTGACTTGCTTCCTGGGGAAGCCTTTCATTAGATGTGCTGGTTGAAGGAAGGATGCTTCCAATTGTTCATTTAATAACATGGGCAGAAATCTGTTCAGTAGCTTTTTCTAGTTGTTTTTAAGATCCAGAACTTTAGTTATGTTAGACCTGTCCAAAGTAAATGGTGAGAGCATGTTTTAAATTATAGGTTAAGCTCACTGAGATAATATGAAATTGCAGGTGCTGGTGTGTGTGTGTGTCATAGCCAACTTGTATAAATTAACTGCATTCTAATGTCACAATGATCTATAAGATTGGCTCTACAGTGACTGTAAGGTGCTCATGTTTTCTTCTTCCCAGGTTGTGTAGCTAAGAAGGCACATTTCGCAATTTGTTTTAAGCTTACTGGACACTGGAGGATCTGCAGGGTGCCTCTTACTGCAGTGTTCCTTAAATTCTAGGCAATCATGGATCTCTAAAAAATGTTCAGAAAATGCAGGAGCCAGCCAATTAGATTAAAAAAAAATCTTATGTTTTTGTCATTAATAGCATGGAAGTTTACATTAAATCCAAGCAGTTAAGAGTCAGGGGATCTTTCATTCAATGGGAAAAAATTTTTTTTTTCATTACTGTACTGTATCTTCTATTGGATTTTTCTTCTTCAGTTTTTATGTGAGGACATAGTTCCACTTATCACATTACGTATAGATTCATAGTCAGTAACTCTACTTGAGACTTGTTTATTTTTGCCAGTGTTCTGAATGTTATTACTCCCTTTGCTGCCAGCATTATTGCTTCAATGAAACAGGTTTGGGCTATTGATCCATTTTTATGAAGCAACTGACTGCCACTGAATGCAGAAGATGGGAAGGAGTAGGTACGTGACCAGTCGACTAAATCACTGTGGCAAGATTGGTAGAGTACATGGTGGGCCCTCATGGGCTACTAATGATCCACAAATCACTTTTTCAGAATTGCTGTTCTAATAATACCAACCATAAACAGCTCCATGGCCTAGAAATACCACTGAGTAAAAGCAACATAGTAAACATTTTTTTAAAAGTGAATAGCTATTTCCTAGTTAGGAGAAGGAAAAAATATTCCACAACTATTAAAAAACACTGGCTTAGCCAGTAAAGGGTGAGAATGAGTGAGAAAGAAACTCAAAATTTCCTTGCCTGGATTCTTTTTTCTATATGAGTTGTGGGGTCAGGGCGGAGAGGGAAAATACCAACAGGCTTTCAAAATTCTGTTATACCTTTTAACATTAAAATAAAATTCTAGTGACTATTCATTTCTTGAACTGGTCTATCTTTTTTTTTAATATAAATTTTATTTGGGTTTTCACAAAAACATAATACAAATAAAAAATCTTTTTTTGAGAATAGCATGATCCCAGGTTATCACTTCTTCATACAGACACAGACTCAATTTCATATTCATCTTTTGTTCTATTCCATATCCTATTACTGTTTTAATATTTTCTCCATAATTTTTCCCCTCCCTCAGTTTTCTCAATTTTATTTTTAATTATCTCATATCTAAATTCAATTATATATCTTTTTCTAAGTTTCAATGTCTTTCCAAAATCATTATATTTATACTTTTGTCTGTCCTGTTTCAATTTCATATTATCTTGCCTCATTAAACAAATTTTCCCCTGTAGTTACTAATTGGAGTATGACACCTTTATATCTTAATTTTATCAATTCAACTCTTATTTAAACTTCAATTTATGCCTTTAAAATTATAACAATATAGTACATAACTTCCAATCGAATTCTGCTTGGTACATTCTTAAAATACACACTATGTTCTTAAATACATACATATACATACATACATACATACATACATACATACATACATACACACACACACACACACACACACACACACATACATACACATACACAGTATATAACAATTGTAAATGAAACACTCATTCCAATTCCATTCTATCATTAATATTAGTTAGAATCTTAACATCTTTAACATTTCTTTTCAATTTTAATATCATGCTTCCTTGTGAACACTTATACACTTTCCATAATTCTTTTTTTTCCATATTTCTCTTCACTTATATTTTTATAAATCATTAATAATAATTAAAATGTTCCCATCCTTTCCTAATTTCATTCTCTCCTTCACTTTATTTCATTTATTAGCAAACATTCCACTGCATTACAATAAGTATTTTTTCCATCATTTTAATCATGCATTGTTTCATATTTTCTAAAATTATTTCTATTTCTAATATAACAATACTATCTTATGTACCTTTGCAGAATCCCCTTTTCAATTAAATTTTCACCCATTATCTCTAAATAGGTTTATACTTTCAATCCTTATACCTTTTCCCTGTTTCTTTATATCTTGTTTCTGTCTTTTATAACTTCTTTTCCTTTCCTTCTTCCCTCTCTTCTTCTCCCTCCCCTTTTTGCCCCCTTGTCTCTCTACTTTTAATTCTCTCTTCTATTATCCTCTCTTCTGTTGCTTCCTAATATTGTAATTATTTTTCAAACTATTCTTTTTTTGGTTGTTTTTTTTCAAATCTTAAACTTTTCACTCTCTTTCCCCCCTTTCCTTTTTTTCCCCACATAAAATTACTTGATCATTAAAGATGGCTTCTTCTTTGTCCCAGCCTTCTTGTTCTACAAGCGTTTCTTGCTGTTTCTCATAGTTCCAAATTTCCATTTCTAAAAATTGAAATCCGAAGCCAAAAGAACCTCTTCCTTCTTGTGCATCTTCTTTCTGTTTTTTTAAGTTCCATTTTCAGTTCTGCTAAAAGTGATGCCATTTTAAACACTTTTAAACAACCACCCGATTGATTTTAGTCATTTAAATCCAATAGCCAAAAATCACCAAGCAATCCAAATAATCCAAAGCTGTTTCTTCTTGCTTCTTTTTTCTACTTTCTCTTCCTGGGGTTCTATTATTTTGTTACAAAGTTTCAGTTAGAATGTATCTTTTAGGAATCTTGTTAAGGTTTCACTGTAAGTTCCTTTTAGTTCCAGGCAGTCTCCTCCATTTTTCCAGATCCCGCCCTTTTATTCTTTCCTTTTCTCTCCTTTCCTGCTTTTAAAGGTTTTTGAGTATCCAAAAGTCTTTATTATCCCTTTGACATTTTATTTTCAGCTTAAATGCCCATTGATGTCAAAGTGGATTTTTGTCAATTTCTTACTTAAATCTCTTAGTTGTCAGTATAAGGAAGGGAAGAAAAAAAAAACCAAATCCTTTTCCTTCCCTCTCTCCTTCGCTGCTTCAAAGTCTTCTTTGGGAACAATGTTATTTTTTATAGTTCAAATTCCAGGGTACCTTACGTTGTTGCTTTTTCAGTTTAACCCGGTCAACCAAAACTTTCTCTTCTTATCTTCCTCCTGCACATTCTTTTCCGGTCAAGTTCTTCTTTGAGGTGGCCATTTCTGACCACCGCTGCAACCACCTTCACGAAAGGGAGTAATGGCCAGCTGAGGAGGAGAGATCCTCGACCCTGCTGGCGGTCTCCCTCCTCTTCATCACCTCTATGGGATGGCTTAGCCCCGAATCCAGCCGGCTCGGGGCGCTCTGGCGGCGAGCACGGATCGAAACCATGCACGATCGCGGATTTTGGTCCGTCGCCGAAGAAGCTCAAACCAGAAGTTCTTGAACTGGTCTATCTTGAAGAACTTACACTTTAGCATTTGGAAAGAGAAGTTAGTAGGGTGTAAGTAGGCACATTCCCCAATATGATTGTGGCAAAAGATACACCTGGGTATGCCACCTAAGTCGCTTGAGTAGGTGAATAAATAATACTCCTGCTGAAAATTAAACTGCTTTTTTCTGTATTGAGTTTTTACATTGTGGCTTAATTCAGGGTATGGTAGGAGGACCTGCAGAGCTTTAGACAAGAGGAATGGAAATGATATTTCCAAATATGCAAGTCTTGGAAATTGGAATATTTTATCTTTAAAAAAATAAAAGCAAATAGGGGGCATTTAAAAAAACTCCATGGATATGACATACACAATCTTCATGTGCAAGTACTTCTGCAGCGTGGGGATCTCTGGTTAACACAAGATGTTGTATTTGCTCCTACCAATTGCTGCTCCATCTGGCTTCTTTTAATGTTGCCTTAACAAGATCCACTTTCTCTTCCCTTGGAGTAATAAATTTCCACCATACAGTTGATAATTAGAGTTCATCTAACTAGCTCTGTGATACTT